TGTTGTTTGCTTGTTTTGTCTGTCTGTTTGTCTGTCCATGTCTGTCTGTCTGTCTGCTTGAGCTTGTTTGTTCTTGCGTGCGTGCGGGCGCGCGGGCGCGTGTCTGCGCATGCGCGCGTGCGCGTGCGCGCGTGCGTGCGTGCGTGCGTGTGTGAGCGCGTTCGCGCGTGCGCGGGTGCGCGTGCGCGTGTGCGCGTGTGGGCGCGTGTGTGCGTGCGTGCGCGCATGTGGGCGTGTGAGCTTGTGGGCGTGTGGGCTTGTGGGCGGGTGTGGGCGTGTGTGGGCGTGTGGGCGGGTGTGGGCGTGTGTGGGCGTGTGGGCGGGTGTGGGCGTGTGTGGGTGTGTGTGGGCGTGTGTGGGCGTGCGTGGGCGTGGGTGGGCGTGTGTGGGCGTGTGTGCTAAACCCTAATTCCTAAACTCTAAACCCTAGACCCTAGACCCTAAACCCTGTTGGGGAGGCTTTCTGCTTCTCGCTTAGGTTCTGAAGGTTCCTAGGCTTTTTGGGGATACAGGGGCCTGCCGGCCTCTTGCCCCCCGGTGGTTCGGCACCTCAAACCCTAAACCCTAAACCCTAAACCCCAAACCCTAAACCCTAAACTTCCCCACTAAACCCCAAGACCCTAAACCGTGAACCCCAAACCCCAAACCCTAAACCCTACACCCTACACCCTAAACAACCCTAACCCTAAACCCGAAACCCTAAACCCTAAACCCTAAAACCCTAAACCCTACCCCCACAAGCCCGAGCCCTCAACGCCTCCAGGAGCAGGTCGTAGCGCCCGGCCTGATCGGAGTCTGCCGGCCCTGGGCTTCCCCAGCTTTGGGGGTCGAAGGGGTTTAGGGTTTAGGGTTTGGGGTTTGGGGTTTGGGGTTTAGGGTTTGGGGTTTGGGGTTAAGGGGTTTGGGGTTTGGGGGTTTGGGGTTTGGGGATTGGGGTTTAGGGGTTTGGGGTTTGGGGGTTTGGGGTTTGGGGTTTGGGGTTTGGGGTTAAGGGGTTTGGGGTTAAGGGGTTAAGGGGTTAAGGGGTTTGGGGTTTGGGGCTTGGGGTTTGGGGTTTGAGGTTTAGGGTGTTGTTTTGGAGCTTAGGGCGGATGAGGTACTTCAGGCCGAGGGCGTTTAAGGGCTTCGTTAAGGTCTTAAGGCGTAGGGCTTCGGCAGGGTTAGAATCTGGGGCACCGCAAGCTTTCCTGTCGATGCATGACCCATGTGACTGGGTATGTACCGGTTACAGCTGTTGAAGGTCGAGGGTTTAGGGCTTAGGGCGGGCAATCCGTGGACTTCGTGCCTGCTTCATCTTTATCAAAACCCTAAACCCTAAACCCTAAACCCCAAACCCCAAACCCCAAACCCCAAACCCTAAACCCTGAGCGACTCTGGTTTCTTTCGACTCCCGGATGGTCTCTTTACACCGTAGCGCAACAACCCTAAACCCTAAACCTTAAACCCTAAACCCTAAACCCGAAACCGCAAAGTGCTCGGGCACAGGGAAAGATTTGGAGGGAGAGTAGGGTTCATGTTGCAGTTAGGGTCCCCAAAAGCCAATACCCCAACCATTCATGTTTAAGGTTTCTCATTCTTACTACCAGTAGTTTCTTTTTCCGTATCCTGACCTGGCGCTTCGATCTTTGGGTGAATTTGCTGTACTCTTTACGGTGTTTGCATTCCTTAAGATTAATACAAATACAGCTCTTCCTCTGGCATTGTTTCCTAGTGGTTCATGTTGCAAGCGTCTGTCATTCTTCTCGTTTCCTTGATGTACGTACCCCGCATTATCGAAAAGCAAAATACTGCATAACAGAATGATAAGGAAGTCAGTACATGATATGAACAAATACTAGCGACTCAGGTGATGCAAGTGTGCATGCAGCACATGGAATCTTGATTTAGACATACTTGCTGCAACACACATGGAAAGCATCGAGGCATCCGATAACTTCTACTGAGCCCTAAACCCTAAACCCTAAACCCTAAACCCTAAACCCTAAACCCGAAACCCTAAATCCTGAACCCGACGTCATGCCAAGCACTGGGGCGCCGACAAGAAGACCGCACCTGGCTACAGGCAAACTTCGGGTCTAGGAACCCTGTTACAGCTCAACCCCTAAACCCTAAACCCCAAACACTAAACCCCAAACCCCACATTTTGGGGTGAATGATCCTTCGGACTTCTACAAGTGCCCACTTCGGGCTATTTGGAGCACCCCGGTGAGGAATCCTGACGCCTGACTTTTTTTTTATAGGTTTCTTGGAGGTTAATGGTACTTACTAACCCAATTACTTCCATATAAGGGCGCTTAAAGGGCCCATAACCCTTAAGGGCCCATGTACCCATGTACAATATATTTGGGCCCTAAAGCTACTACATAGGAACCCCCCTTTCAGGCCCAAGTATGTACTATATAGACACGTGGACCCTTAGGGTAAGTGGGTTATCTTACTGTTAGTGAGGTACCCTATACTCATCTAATACTTTAAAGAGTATATATAGGGCCCGGATTCCCTCATTCCCAGCTAGCCAACAATACGTTATAGCTGCAATTATAATAAGGTTAATTATAAGCACCATGAACTCCTTACGGAAGCCACCAAAGGCAAGTTTAAGTAGGGTTTAGGGTTTAGGGCTTAAGTAGGTTGCGGGTGTGTTTGGTCGACTCCTAAGCCTGACTAAGCCCAAAACACCCGAAGAGTTTAGGGTCTTTAGTAATCGGCTTTATATGCTTTTATAAGTGTTTGCAGGGTTTGTGGTTTGCGGGGTTTATAGGGTTTAGGTCAAAAACCCTAATGAACTAGCTGCCCGCGCAACCCTCAAGGTCAGATCATGGCTATGAAGCACATGCCACCTAGAAGATACCCTAGGCGGGCAAGATCAGGAAGCTCGTTTTGCACGGAAGCCCCAAGATCTGCTGTTGTTGATGATCGGATCGGCAATGTTGGTTGCCGACTGCTGCTCGCAAAGCTCCACATCAAAGTTGGAGTTGTTCGAGCGGCAGGGCCACGTGGGCCCGGCAGGGATTGACTATACAGGCCCACTGAATTAACCCGGCAGATGTGGTAGCAACATGCTAGTCACCCAGCGCCCGCCAATGGTTACCAAAGAAGTCATGAAACCCTCTCAGTGACATGTGTCTTGCGAAATCTGATGGAACGCTTCCTTTTTTTTTTTGGGGGGGGGGGGGGGGGGGGGGGGGGGGGGGCGGGGGCGGAAGGGGGGGGAGTTGTTCTAAGCCAGGGCTGCTGTCGTCGCATAGTAGAAGGAGACAACTCCAAGAAACATACTAGAAGAGGGGGGGGTGCCGATTAGCAATGTACTTCGAGTTGGAGCAAACTGGGCTGAACAGAACCAGAATAAGCAGTTTGCAGTTGTGCGAGCCGTTGTGAAACAGAACTATAACTAAACTGTCCCAGCACGACTGTGAGAACAAAAAAACGCGTCCCCCAAGTGTCAGATTGCGAACACATCAACCCCCTGCTTCTTACTAGGGAATGAGGGAATGAGGGCCTTGTACATACCCTTCAAGGGATTAGAAGAACCAGCCAGATGAAAGCCAACACTGAAACAAAAGGAGGCCCGCCGCGAGCGCCAAAGATAGGGGATGGGATTAGGGGGACCCTTGGGGATATAGACCCTTTGAACAAGGTGCCTCCTTTAAGAGGGCCAGAAGAGGGTTAAGAAGGGCACCCTTTTAAAGGCCTCCCTTATCCTACCTATAGGAAAAGAGAATCCCCTTGTAAACCCCTGAGAGTTCAAGGCCCCAGGTTTTTTCTAGCGTTTTTTAGGTTAAGTTTTGGGGTTTTGGGTAGTTTAGGGGTTTAGGATTTGGGGGTTTAGGGTTTAGGGGGTTTAGGGTTTAGGGGGTTTAGGGTTTAGGGTTTGGGGTTTAGGGTTTAGGGTTTAGATTGCATTTCAACGCCCAGCCGCCAACAACCTTGGGCCCCACCCCCCCCCCCAAGCCCTCCCCAAACAACCATTTCTAGTGTCAAAATCAAGGGGATCAAACATGAAAAATTAAAAGCGCTACCTTGCTTCCGTATGTTCATTGATTCGGTGGGGTTGCTGACCATCTACAAATCTTAACCCTATAACCCCTAATCCCTAAACCCTAAACCCTAAACCCTAAACCCTAAACCCTATAATCCCTAAACCCTAAACCCTAAACCCTCATTAAGCACGCAGGTCGTGGATGGCTTGAGCATGCTGCCCTCTAAAGTGCCTGCCAATGGAAAACATGGTCCCCGCTGCGCATGATATTCATGCAGCAAAGGGTTTGGGGTTTAGGGTTTAGGGTTTAGGGATCAGGGATTAGGGTTTAGGGTTTAGGGATTAGGATTTAGGGTTTAGGGTTTAGGGACCAAGGAAGGGCGGCAAATAGCAACATCACAGACATTGAGCCCCTGTGCCTGCTTCCAGAATATCTGTATGTCGCAGGCACGCAAGTCTGCAAACAGACGGGCACTGACAGCCATGGTCTCACTATGTCTCACTGACGCGGTAGGTTCCGCGACTTCCTTGTCTACTTGATGGTGAGAGTACCGGCTCGCAACCAAAGCAGAAACCAGTCACAGTACTTCGGAACATCAGAGCGGGGTCATGACTAGAGGTAATTCTGAGGTGGCATAAAGAAAAGGGTACCCCGGACCTCCAAGTAGCGATGACCAAACAGTGACCATGGACAACCAGTACCCAATGAACACATCTCCGTTTAACGGAAGCTTCCTGGCCCCAGGCGGTGTGCTCTTGCGCTCTACGCACATTACCCAGCTCCCCCCAGTATTGGCTGGGGCACCGAACTTGCGGATGTCTCGTTACGATCTCGCAGCCATAAGTCAAGCATCTAGATACATCCGCAATACCTGAAGGCTCTAATGTAGCCCCTTCTTGGTCTAGTTCTAGGGGACTTTTGGTCTACTCCCTTAAAAAAGGCACTACATACGAGCCTTCGGGTAGGCACTGAATGGCCCCCGTGCATTCAGTGTGCGGCACCTCTCGGTTCGAGAAGCGCTCAGCGCCCCTGCAGGGAAAGCAGACGGAGTCGCTCCAAGGACTCAACCAGCCTTAGCTGCCGAGTTCAGAAGCCCCCCCCCCTCCCCAAAAAAAAAAAAGTGTGCACTTTCAGTTCTGTAGGGGATTCGAGTGCCCAAAAAGTGCACAAAGTGTACTCGTTCAGCTACTAAGAAGCATCTCGGCACTGGCGTTCCCTTGGCTGGCGGAATGGGACGCCGCCAGGCAGATCAAGTTGGAGAAGTTCATCCGCTCGAGCGTCTTGTGGAGGTTTCGGAGGTCGCGGTCCATCAGGACCTGGGCCCAAGGCCGCGCGCCTTCGGACTCCTGCGCGAGCAGGTTCAAGATCTCCTTGGCCTCTTCGAGGAAGCCCGCCTGCTCGGCTTTGCTTCGGCAGAAGTGCATCACCAGCTTTGACATCTGCGGCTGGCTGAGGTGTTGGATGATGTTGCGCTGCCTCTTGTCAAGCTTGGGCGTCTTCTCCGTGTGCTCCATGTGGCAGTAGGCACAGGCCTGGCCGTTCTCGCAGTGCCCGGCGATGAAGTAGATGCACGGGCGCCGGCAAACCTCCGGGTGCCCGAGGCTGCCCTGGCTGGGCAGCAGCGGGAAGAACTCCGCCGCGACTTGATCCGTGCTCCAGGCCTCCTCTTGGCCCTCCGACACATCGCTGGCGGTGGTGTTGGTGGGGCTGGAGCCGCAAGCTGTAGTGGGAGTCTTGCCCTGCTGTAGCCTATACTCCCCTTAGAACCTTAACAAAAAGAATATGTTTAATATCTCTTGGGCTTTATATAAACAAAAATAAGAAAAATATTTCCCAAGGGGGGTATAGTAGCTGATGCGCCAGGTCCGCCATCTTCTGGGAGAGGGTGCCCACATAGCTGCGCATGGCTTCCTCCTCACTGGCTTCCTCCTCACCTTACTGGCCCAAAACCCAAGGAAATAAAAGTTGAAACTTCAGAATAAGCTTCCTTATAAGAAGCCCAAAAGTTGCAACGTTGGGTTCTGAGCCAGTAAGTCACTGGCTGCCTCCGAGCTGGAGTCGATACTGGGCATGGGCCTGGCCGGCGCGCTCTGTGCACGGGCCCGACTGGAACTCTCCACCATGTCCTCGAAATCCTCCTTCACCTATACTGACTTAACCCGAGCAAAACTTCTATAACTTTAGCGGTTCCTTAGGAATTACAGCGCCCAAAAACCAAAAACTATTCCCAGGAAACCCCTGAGTCGCGTCAATGAAAGTCCGGCGATACTCGAGCTCCAGGGCCATATCGGGGAAACAACCGCCGAGAGATTCCCTTCTGCACGTGGGGCTAAAACACCACAAACCGGCTCGCGGCGGGCAAAGGCCGTGGGATCTGGGCTGGTGGTCTATACGGGATAGGAGGGTTTAGGCTTACATGGAGTTTCATGTTTTAGTATCAAGCTGCAAGTGCTAAAGTTGCAATTTTTAACAACCCCTGTAGATCCCTATAAACTTCAGGGCTTCGGGGGCTTTTGGGGCTGGGGTGTGGGGCGTCTACCTTTTTGGGATGAAGGGCTTTTGGGAGGTCCTTGGGCTTACTTACGGCTTACTTCGGGTTTAGGCTTCAGGGCTCAGGGCTTAAGGACTTTCAGCTTAGACTACAGGCGCAATCGGTGTGTGTCTAGGGTTTAGGGTTTAGAGTTTAGGGTTTAGGGTTTGGGGTTTAGGGTTTAGGTTGGGCACGAGGGGGGGGGGGGAAAGGCGACGGCCTCGTCGTTGAAGCCTGCCAGCTTAAGCGAAGTCGGGACCTGAGTCTCGGATGCTTGCCGGAGTTCAGGGGCTCAGGATTTTGGGCTCAGAAACCCTGGAACTGAGCCCACCCCCCCCCGGGAGGTCCCCCCTGAACCCGAACCCTAAATCCGCAACCCGAAACCCCAAACCCAAACCCCCACTGAGAATCCCACTTGGGTGGTACTTCTGACATGTACTTCTGAGCATCCACGAACCTCCAAGCACAGCGCCCTACTGAGCCGCAGAGGCCCTAACAGCAGACTTAGAATACCCAAAACCAGAACATGAGCCCAATACGCCCTGAGTTCCCCTAAACCCTAAACCCTAAACCCTAAACCCTAAACCCTAAACCCTAAACCCTAAACCCTAAATTCTAAGGACTGTTCCTAACTCATACAGAGGATCCCTTTTAAAGGCCCATTCCTTCACTGAGGGGGTCGTTTTGCTCTTTACGTTTCAGTCTAGGAGACAAACCCTTGAGCCCCAAGAGCCTGATGGACCCCCCCCTTGGAGGTTCAGGGTTTAGGGTTTAGGGTTTAGGGTTTAGGGTTTAGGGTTTAGGGTTTAGGGTTTAGGGTTTAGGGTTTAGGGTTTAGGGTTTAGGTTTTCTGGGTACCTAAAACCCAGGCCCAAGAGAAACCTAGGAAACAGAAGGGTGCCCATTTTGGGGTTCAAAGAGACTTCTAACGAAACCCACACCCCAAAAACATGGGGGATAAGGGCCTACTCCAGGTCCTAGTAACCCTTTGGAAAGGCGCAGGGTTTAGAGTTTCGGGTTTGGCTCAGGGCAGGTAGAACTTATAACCCTACAACTACCTAACTCGCCGGTCTCCCCCGAGGTTTAGGGCTTTAAGGGTAACCCAGCTGTAAGTGTATAGTCATAACCCACTTGCAAGCCCCTTTAAGTACCCTCATTTCATGGTTATCCATAGTGCCCTCATAAGGTTATCAGTGGGTTAGAAGTGCTGTGGTGATTGGGAGAATAAGTGCCCTGAACGCCCAGTGCGGCTGGGCCCCCGTGCAAGCGACTCCTGGCTACAAGATGCAGCTTCGGGAGAAAAAGGTCACCCTAGGCCCTAAACCCGAAACCCTAAACCCTAAATGCCAAAAAGCATAGGAGGGTTGCGCAGGGTAGGGTCCCTTCTGGCATCTTTGTAAGCCCCAACCTAGCCCAAATTCAAAGAGTTCTTCAATCACCGCTGGGATCCTACTTTAGCGTTACAAGGTTTACTTACGCTACGGAATCCCTAAACCCTAAACCCTAAACCCAGAGGGACCCTAAGGATCCATGTACCTACATAGCATATGCTTGGGCCCTGAAGCTACTGTATAGGAACCCCGTTGTAGGGTTTAGGGTTTAGGGTTTAGGGTTTAGGGTTTAGGGTTTAGGGTTTAGGGCATATGCACCTGGATTCTTAGGGGGGAGGATCCCAAAGTAGATGGCCGTTCCTTTAAAGAAGGAGGTTCCCTAGCTTCGAGGAGTTTCTGCTGAACTGCTGAACCCTCCAAAGGGTTCTTCAGGGTCGACCCTTATTGCAAACGCACGTTTGGGACGGATACAAGCCACAAACACACACACACACACACACACACACACAAACACGGAACCCTGTTCCAAAAAGACCTAAATCCCAGACGACCCCTCAACACACACACACACACACAAACACACACACACACACACACACACACACACACATACACAAAAACAAAGAGCACCACCATGCACCACCACAAGCAAGACAACCAAGCCCAGACAATCGCAACCCTCCATCCACTGACCTCGCCTCCACATGGTTCTGCTTTCGGCGCTTCGTGGGGGACAGCGCCATTCCTGTGAAGTCCAGGCCTTTCCTCAGGGGCCTGGCTGGCTGGCTTTTTTAGCAGGGAATGAGGGAATGAAGGCCCGATATAATCCCTTAAAGGGTATATTATACTATACTACATATTTATAATATATATATATATACATACATATACATAGGGCCCTCATTCCATCATTCCCTACTAAGAACTGGTGGCGGTGGAGCAGACTCCGAGGCTTTGGGTTTGAGGTTGTTTTGGGGGGGCGGGGGGGTTTAGGGTTTAGGGGGGTTTCTTGGTAGCCCAGTGGCCATATTAATAATACAGGTACCCTTTTCCGGGATGGGTTGCTTTATAAGGGAACAAAAAATCGGGAAAAGGGTACCACTGGGCTAGCAAGTGCTTAGGGCGGCCAGGGCGTCTGGTCCTTTGCTTTTGAGAAAGCAGCCGGGGCTTGGGGGTATCGGCATTCGGAGGTCATTGAGCACGGATATTCAGAGCCTCTCTGGGCTTTAGGAGGATCTCGAACAGAAGTGTGTGCACGGACTCTTGATTGGGCTTCGCAAGGGAACCTATGCCCAACAAATATCCTAAAGCAGCATCTAGGGTTTAGGGTTTCTTGTTTCAATCAAGATTGGTCCGCAAGGGAACCTACCAGGAGATGCAGGCTTGTCAGATGCAGGCTCCTCTTGCACTTGGAGGTTCAGGGTACTTAGTAACCCAATAATAACTCTACTTCTAACCCAATTATAACCATATTGGGGCACTTAAGGGGGCTTAGAAGTGGGTTATAAGTACAGCTATGATTGGTCCCAAACCCTAAACCCTAAACCCTAAACCCTGAACCCTAAACCCTACTAGGAATATTGGGTTATTAAGTACTGTACCATGAACCTCCTAGCATCGCTGCCTTTTTCACTTCTTGCGGCGGGTCGCGAAGAGATGCGTGCGGGGCAGCGGGCTTTGTGCATGGGTGCGGGGCTTCGTTCAAAGAGCCCCCTATCCCTAAACCCTAAACCCTAAACCCCAAACCCCCAACCCTAAACCCTAAACCCTAAACACGCGAGGGTACCGGGGCACTTCGGTACTTCCTTTCTGCATCTTCAAGCAACCCTATGAACCGACTACTCACGTTGGGAGGCGGGGGGGCCGAAGGCTTAGGCAACTCTACCAGGGTTTAGGGTTTAGGGTTTAGGGTTTAGGGTTTAGGGTTTAGGGTTTAGGGTTTAGGGTTTAGGGTTTAGGGGTTTGGGACGTAGGGTGTAGTGCTTAGGGTTTAGGGTTGAAGGTTTACTAGGGCACCATGGTCTGAAGATTCCACAGAATTGGGGCCTCTGGTTCTACTGCAAATATGAGAGCCATTCTTAGAATAGGTATCCTAGAAGAAGGGGGCCCCTAATTTAAGGAACGTCCTGCGACTAAGCGGCCCCCAAGCCCTTCTCTGCAACAGTCCCATGTTCTTCGATCTTTCGGGCACCGCATAGCCCATGCCGGGCTGGGCGCGTCTGGCTGCAACCAGCAGGTGCCCTCAGAAGCCGCGCTCCGGAACGATTTGGATCTTTGCAAAGGCCTCGCCAGAGCATAAGACTGAAGTAGAAGATCGCGAAGATGCTACTTGAACATCTCCAACAGCAGGGCTTTACATGAGAGAGCCCTTGCCTACATCTTGGGATGTCGGCTTTCACTCACCGGGGTTCAGGGTTCAGGGTTCAGGGTTTCGGGTTTAGGGTTGAGGGTGTAGGGCCCACTTGGCAAGTGGATGTGACCTAGGTTGCTTTTACATTCTCACCGTCGGCACTGACCCAAAGCCCAATGATACAAGCCGTGATCTACACCCAAAAAAAACCCTTGAAGCACTGAACCCCTAAAACCTTAAACCCACAACCTCTAGTTAAAGCCCTTAGCCTCTAAACCCTGAGCCCAGAAATAGCCTAAACCAAAGCCCAACACATGCCAACAGTCTGTGCGCATGCCAGACCTGGCGGCACGTGTCGTCCACCCTTCTCATGTCACGCGGAAGTACGAACCGGACACTTTCCCGAACAATCGCGAAGCCAGATGCGACAAGGCGTCCCCTCCCCCCTCTGCAAGCTTATGGCTGGGAGCACTAAACCCCAAACCCCAAACCCAAACCCCAAACCCCAAACCCCAAACCCTAAACCCTAAACCCTAAACCCTATTAACCCACGGCTCGGGCCTTGCCCTTGTGCTTCTTCTGCTGAAGCTCCTGTGCAACCCATGGGCGAAGGCACGTGAGGCTTCGGTAAAGCATTAAATAATTTGGGTTTAGGGTTTAGGGTTTAGGGTTTAGGGTTTAGGGTTTAGGGTTTAGGGTTTAGGGTTTAGGGTTTAGGGTTTAGGGTTTAGGGTTTAGGGTTTAGGGCTCCCTAAGGGTCCATGTACCCATTTAGTATATACTTGGGCGTTTTAAAGGGGTTCCCATATAGTAGCTTTGGGGCCCAAGGTGAGTTCCCTTGCTATGCTAACATGATTGTAAGTTCCTTTTGACAAGCATAAACCCTAAACCCTAAAGCCTAGATCCAGTATGCTACCTCGGCCCGAAATTCTCGGCCTGACGACCCGATCGGATCACCAACCTACAACAACACGTGCTAGATAACCCCATTCTGGTCTTCTTAGAGCTTCGGGTTTCGGGTTTAGGGTCTAGGGCTTAGGCTTTAGGGTTAAGGGCTTAGGGCATTTAAGCTTCT